GACTCACCTGGAGACTCACCTGGAGACTCACCTGGAGACTCACCTGGGGGCGGGACACCATGTGACCCAGGCCGAAAAGGGGGCGGAGTCTGGGGGCGAGGAGAACGGGCTGGAGGACGCCTATAACGAGGAGGAGGAGGGCCTGGGGGAGCCCCAGGACCTGTCTCTGGGGGACTACTCGGGCTACCAGGGCGCCGCGGAGACGGTCGCCATGGAGACGGGCGCCGTGGAGACGGGCGGTGGCCAGGCGGCGGGGGGGAAGCTGAGCTGCGACGTGTGCGGCCTGGCCTGCATCAGCATCAACGTCCTGCTGGTGCACAAGCGCAGCCACACGGGTGAGCGAGCACCGGAAGGAGAGGGAGAGAGAGAGAGAGAGAGAAAGAGAGAGAGAGAGAGGGAACAGGTGGAGAGAGAGAGAGGGGGGGGGGGGGGGGGGCTGACCCCAAAACGCAGCCGCCAGGTTGTGAAATACCTGCTGTTGCTCTTCAGTAATGAGAATACAAGCTCTCTCTCTCTCTCTCTCTCTCTCTCTCTCTCTATCTCCCTCTCTCATTCTGGCCTTCTCTAACTTGCTTTCTCTCTCTCTATCTCGCCCTGCTACCTCTCTCCCTCTCTCTCTCTCCCCCTACTCCCTCTCTCCCCCTCTAACTCTCTCTCCCTTTCTCTCTCCCCACCTGTTCCCTCTCTCACTCTCCACCTGTTCCCTCTCTCTCTCCATCTGCTCACTTTTTCTCTCTTTCCCTCTCCCTCTCTCTCTCTCTCTCTCTCTCTCCCTCTCTCTCTCCAACTGCTCCCCCTCTCACTCTCTCTCCCTCTCTCTCTCCCCCTGCTCGCTCTCTCCCTCTTTCCCTCACTTTCTCTCTCTTTCCCTCTAACTCTCTCTCCCTCTCTCTCTCTCCACCTGTTCCCTCTCTCCCTCTCTCCCTCTTTCATCCTGTCTCCACCTCTCTCTCTATCTACCCCTCTTCATCTCCCTCTCTCTTTCTGGCCTTCTCTCCCTCTCTCTCTCTCCCTCTCCCCCCTTTATGAGGCTCCAGGGTTCTTCCCCCTAATTTCAGTTTTTCCCTCCCTGTGTCTCCTAGTGCTTTTTCTGGGTGGAACTGTTGTTCTTCTGGAAATAATCAGAGTCTGATCTGCTCTGTTTGGAAAGCTGGGAGATAACTAAAAATAAAATAGAATTTAATTGAAGTAGCTGTTAGAAACCTGCTGTTGGATTTGGAGCTACAGAAATAAAATAAAATAAATAAAATAAATAAAATAAATAAAATAAATAAAAATAAAT